GGGTCGCACCGCGGGCGTCGAATGCGTTGATGTGCTGCTCCATGAGTTTTGAGAGGTCATCCACGAGGGCCTTGCAGGTGGGGTCCAGCTGAGAGGGGTTTTGAGGCGGGCAATGTGCGGGGGCAGGTGTTAAGGAGAGGAATCAGTCAGAAAAACGACACCCGGGGGGTTGAGCACGCGGGGACTGCGCGGGCGGCACGAACGCGCGCACTGCGCACGCGCGCAGGGGCTGTGCCTCGCAGGTGGCATGCAAGGGGCGCGCCGGCGCGCGCGCGCAGCCGAGGGGACTGATGGGCGCAGCGGTCGCTGTTCTGCCAGCGCGCACCTGGCCGCCGCACGCGTGCGGGCCGAGAAGCTTGGGCACGCGCGCTATCGCTGTCGAGATGTTGAAAAAGTCAAAGCCAGCGCCGTGCTGGCGAACGATCGCCAGCAGGTCTGACGTGGTGTTGGCCGTCATAATCTGCTTGTTGAGGCCCACGCTGCTGCTGCTGTGCGCGCGCCCGCCGCGCCGGCCGCCCTGCTGCTGGTTCTGCTGCCCCGCGCGCGCGCCCTGCTGCTGCCTCGGCGCCCGCGCGCCCAGCAGGCCGCGCGCGGCGCCGCTGGCCGCGTCCGGCACGCAGCGCGGCGGCATGAGCGCGCTGCCCGGGGCGGCGGCCAGCGGCGAGGCGGGGTCGGCGTGGTGGGCGCCGTTTTGCCAGGGCAGGCCGGCGGCGGGGAAGTGCTGCGCCGCCGTTGACTGGTCAAGAGCCGCTGGCACGTCCCGGCCGCCAAGGACGTGCGGCTGCAGCAGGCTGGCCGCCGCCGGCAGCTGTGGCCCGAGCGCGCCGCCGGCGTGCAGGCGCGGCGCGAGCGCGAGCGCCGAGGGGGGGTGGGCGCCCGACGCATCGGCGTGGCCGCCGGGCGCGGAGATGCCGTGCAGGCCCTCCCAGGCGCCGACGGCGACCTGAGGCAAGCCATTGTGGCGCGCCGCCTCTGCAAGACATTGTGTGTGTGCGTGCGTGCGTGCGCGTGTGTGTGTGTGTGTGCGCGCGCGCGTGTGCGAACGCGCAAACTTGTGTGCAGGCCTTGTGGAAAGAGCGAGCAGCTGGCCAAGACATATGGTATGGAGGACATAATCACAGAAGTCAATACAATCCTCTATCACGAACAATACAGCGCAGCAGCAGCGGGCTTGATGTGTGTTGCCCCCTCCTTGGGGAGGGGTGCTGAACGCGCACGCGCAGGCCGCCCGCTCACCCTTGGCAGCGACCTGCGCAAATTTTAGCAGCAGCTGCGCCTTCTGCGCCGCCATGGCACTGGCAGCACCTCTAGTGCGTACACCAGAGGGGCGGCGTTATCGCCTGCGCGCACGAACGACAGGCAGTGGTGGGCGGGAAGCAGCTCGCAACGCGAGGCGCGCGCGTGCGCGCCCGGGCTCGTGTCCCTGTGGGCTGGCCTGGCACTGCCCAGGCTCACTAGTTTGATTCCACTAGCACTCCTGTAACCTGTTGAGTGCTATCAGAGCCCCGGAGCGACGCGCCCGAAAATGCATCATCGCTATGAACGGCGCACCTGAGGCCGCGAGTGCGTTCCAGAGCTGGCCAGACTATTCCTAAAGCTGAACGAAATTTTCCTCGCGGCGTCGACACGTTGGAGTATGTGACGGACCGTGCGATCTGATACGCACCTTAGTACCATGTACTCACACGGTATGCATGCGATTGGAATCATAAAAAGTTCGATGTGTAGCCAATCTGTGACCACGGCGAGCCTCGGAACCCTCCTTGTTGCCACCAGTCCCATCCCCAAGCAACAAGCAGCTGCTCAGTTCAACAACAGTGGGTGGGCTGGCCTTCACTTTCGAAGCCGCAACCGAGATCTTCAGCCCTGTCTTGGCATCTGTATGTGTGCTGCTGATCGCGGGGACAAGGCGCCGTGCCGAGGGCGGTGTGCAAAGCCCGCGAAGTGCCGCGGGCGGGTGCATTGGCCAGGTCGATCCGCCGCCGCCAGCCGGACAAACGGCTTGCCCAACCTACTATGAGCAACACCAAGAAGCGACGCATCACCGCGTCCGGCCTCGTCGGCGACGCCTGCGCCGCGGAGGGCGCTGGGGGCTGTGGCCGCTGCCAGCGGTGGGAGACACCCTGGGGCCCCGGCGCCGCGCTGCCAGCGCTGCATCTGTCCCTGGTGGGTGCGCTCGCCTGTTTGCGCTCGCCTGTTTGTGTGCTCGCACGCTCACGGCTCAAAGACATGCAGCCGCCCGGTACGGCGCTTGTGTCATGCACTCAGGGCGCACCGCCACCGCTCCCTCTCCAACCTTGCTGCAACGCTGCGCACCACGCACTGCAACGCTGCAAAACACCCCACCCGCCTTCCCCACTGCACCCAGGAGGCCGGCCTGCTGCGCCCCCGCGCCTACGCCCGCCGCCAGGCGCTACACCTGCTGCGCCGCAGCCGCCTTCAGGCGACCTTCGACCCCAGCGCGCCCCCGCACCCCTCGGCGCGCGCGGCGCCGGCGGACGGGCGGCGGCCGCCGCCGCCGCAGCGGGCGCGCGCGCGCGTGGCGGAGCTGCTTGCGGCGGG